GATCCTCCAGCAACGGCCTAGTTAAACTTGACCTTTGAAGCCTAGGGTATATATATATTTACATTTTTATACATATACACAGTATAGTCACATAGAATATAAGAATATATATATATATATTTGCATGATGTTATAGTCATAGTATATTATTACTATTTTATGTCCACATGTTTTGGGGATGCTGACGGTGGCCATGACACTGCACTCAACCTTTGCTGTCTCGATAGTGTCATGACACTCAATTGTTGTATATTCGCGGTGTTCATTTGAGGATACGCACATGCTGGCCCTGTTTATGATGGAAGACCACCTCTACCACCAACAAGAACCGCATGTTACACTCCAAGTACCCTCAAAGCCGAGCGAACCTAGTCATTCGAGCAATCGCCCCACGCTGCGAAGGCGCAGACTGACATCTCCAAATGGAAAAAGTTCATGGCGACTCGCTCGCATTCCTACAAGCTTTTGAGGGAGAAGTGTAGAATTAAGAATTCCTCCGGCTTTCCATTTGTCCAGGATGAGCCCACGAAGAGATTGGATGACATGTATGCACTGATGACGAAATTCTCCGGGCAATGCACCTCGGCCCGGCCTTGGAGGCATTGTTGCACTGCATTCTTCTTGCTTTTTGCTCGTTCTTGTCGCACGGAGCCCGTAAATGTTCCGTGACTTCGCAAAAACTGAGTTGGGTGGGCGTTCAAAAGGCAATACTCATGGACCTGCGAGTATCGTCGTTTAAGACTGGAGAATGCGTTTCTGGCCCCTCACGGTCCTGTTCCTGCTAGAGTCAAATTTCCTCAATGACAAGTCCCGTGCGATTTCGATGTCTACACAGGGGAAAGGCTAGGGAGTTGTTGAACCTTGCTGATGACCAGTGGATGCCTCATGCCTCATTTCTAAACATTGCATACATCTGCTTGAGTTCAGCCACGCTTGTGTATGCCGTCAACTCTCAGAAGTACATAGTTTTTTTCTTCACGAGCTCCGTCTTTGCCTGTGGACGCCGTCAACTCCGAGAAGTAATGATCTCCGTCTTTGCAAACCAACCCTTATTCTTACTAGGAGAATCTTCAAGGGACCCATCAATGGAACCTTCCCAACAGATTTTCAGGATTTTCGGGAGTCCTTTGCCGAGGGCACACCACTCCCCTGCCCAGGCCCAGTTTGCGAGGCCAACATGCTGCTGGGTGGCATCGGTAGTAGGAGTAATTTTTTCTTTACTACAACACAGTTGCTTCAAAGCAAGACATGGAAAGACCTTCATTCCAGTGAAGACCGAAATCCATTGGACCCCCTGGAAGATCCCTGATGGGCACTCCCCTCAATCTTTTCAGGAAATCGTTTGCAGGCTGCCGACCATCACAAGACAGTTGGTCGATGGAGAACAAATGATGAATTTCACCAGCTGAAGGACTGAAGCATTTTGATGCACTTGATCACCAAGCCATAGACAGTTCATGAACTTGGGTCCCAAATTCGCACTATCGTTTGTCCGGGACCTTCACGCTCACACAACGGCTGATCACGCAGCCCTGCCAAGGCGTTTCGCAGCAAGAGGACTTCTTAAGATTACAGCGAGATGCCACTATGCAGCTTTCGCTCGAGACTTCCCCTGATTTCTGAACACGACCACCACCGCCATGTCCAAACTGCTGCGCCTGCCCGAAATCTACACATTGAGGTAGAGCCACTCCGACCTCCTCCCCCTGCCGCGAAAAGCCGACTCTGGACCAATTTGCACCTCCCGCTGCCATGAAAAGTGACCACCAAGTCCGAAGATGTGCACGGCAGGCAAAATGGGTGTTAAAAGTATGGCCGAGCACTTTGGACATGAAGTCCAGTTCACCACCCCCTGATGCCATTACAAGGGGAACTTCTCTAATGTGCTCAACTGTGCTTGCTTCAGGCTCGGCTTCAACGAGCATTTTATCAGCCAGACGCCGGGCTGAAATGATGGATGGTCAAACATGGCGGACCTCCGAAAATTCCATTCAGTCACCTCAGTACTTTTTCAGTTTCGTCATCTATGACCTGCTGGGCAGGCTCCTGCTGTGTAGCCTAAAGCTTTCATGCCGCCTGTAGGAAGCACTTCAAGAAACTGCGGGAGAAGTTCCCGCAGGGCCCTCCGACAGAGTGGGGCGCTCGGGGGATGCCAGCGGTGAAGGGGGCTGTCATGCGCTTATCATATCCAAGCGGCCTTCCTCAGTACAGGACTACAGGACCACATCCCACACATTCGTTCAGGCAACTGGCGAACCCGATCCCCAGATCTACAACGATCTATAGACATCGCAGTACCTTCATCTAAACGACCACCTGTATTCAGGTGGCTTCAACAGCATAGCTTCAGAGAGAAATGTCACCAGACGTCACCCACATCATGAAGGGCTGTGCTTGTCTGGTCCAAGGCAGCTTGCTCGTGGCTGGACACAGCCCTGGGTGCAACGTATCGCATCTTGGTTTTAGGTGAGTGAAGATGCATGAAGATGCACCGACCACTTCCCACAAAAACACAACCTGCAGTGGGGTGGGGCTCTGGAAAAGCTTCTTTGCCACTGTGCCATGGTGAAGTGAGGGTTTGGATTTGGGAGGGGGTGGATACAACAGTTCCAAGAGGTAATCCGTATTTGTTGTAGCTGAAAGTCGGGGATTTAGTAACACAGAGTTTGGATTCGTAGGTCAGGCCTGTGTGCACATTTGGTGGCAGGTGTGACTGCAGTAATGAGCGAAGTCGTCCAGGAACCTCAACGCGGTGCGAGTTCGAGCTGGCAGCACTCCAGCGATGGTTTCACAATGTTTCACTCTCTCCACCACCTGTTTTGAGTGAATTTGGCACGGCAGGACCCAACACCTCATGATAGTCCTCATGATATAGACAGACCTTTATATCATGTCTATTTTGCTAGTTATATGTTGTAGTATGTTATAGTTACGTTAAGATAACGAAGAGGCTCAGTCAGAGGGGTCCTTATTTCAACTATATAACTTATTTTGCGTGAAGGGAGTCACACTTTAGACACACTTCGACCCATCCAGCTGCGGATGAACGTATTTTGGACTAGCCGAGGAGACCACACGCTGCTTGAATGCATGGGACGAGACGCCAGTGCGGAAAATGTTCAGGGATCGGAAGGAACTTCGGGGTTGTGAACTACGGCCTTTATTGTGTTTTGGAGCTTGGTGCTAACATGGGCCCCTGCCCCTTCTCGGTCTTGGCCAAGTCTACCAACGTTGGCTGCAACGTTGTTACGCAGCATTTACACGGACAAGATGTACATTGCCTGATGTTGTCAGCCTGTGGCAATCCAATTGAAGGTAGGATCCTCTCCTCTATTTGACGCTGCCTCAGGTGGCATATTTTTGCACAACCATGTGACTGGGGAGCAGGCGCCTCTTCTGTCTTGTGAAGTGCGGACGCGTGCTGCATTGTCACACTATGTCACACTTGATGTCAGTGATTGAGATATCGATCTTCACATTTGTCACGCTTTGCTCGTCGCCTCTCCCAACCTATCGTGACAAAGCAGCTTTGCTATTCTGCCGTTCGCTTGGCCACCCTTCTTTTTGTGTATTGGTTTTGTGTCTTTGTGGCCGAAGCTGCTTTATACAGGGACCTTAAGCAATAGAGCCTACCTACAACAGTAGGAAGTAAAATCCCCACGTTGATCTTAAAGCACAACCTGAAGCGAACAAGGGTCAGCTACCTGTGCTGATCCTCTTGAGCGCAACCAGGCATTCGAATCAGAGATTGGGAGTGGCGCCCAGCCGCAGCCTCTTCCACAAGGTGGCCGCTGGACCCGTGAAGACGGTTTCTCAGTGGCCAACACACAGCCATTGGCCTCAGTTTCACTGTTGGGTGTAGTGTTTTTTTGCGAAGCTGTCTCAGTCTCTCGCAATCGTTTCGGTGTATCCTGCATTCTGAAGGTGCCAAATGGTCCAGGTTTGCGGGTGCAGATTTGCTTCGTGTTGTTCAAGTCAAGGCTGCCAGTTAATGCAGCGTCCCCACCACAGGCATTTTCATGCATTTTCTCAATGCAGATAGCAGATCTGTCAAACATAGTTACAGGATGTTACAGGATTTGTTAGGTTGGTATAGTGCTGCTAGGTGGGTACCGGTGGTTCATGTGTTTTTGTCTGCCCCAGCTCCGCCCTGCCGCAGCTGGGCCACGCACCGCCGTGGACGCATCGCCCATGCCGGTGCCGCAGTCTGCGCCGCGGTGCCAAGTGCCACCCGAGCTGCCTGGCGCGAAGCCGTGACACATATACTGTGAATTTTGTGGTTCTTCCGCTTTCGCACCATGTTGAATCTCCATGCACACCCGCCGCAGCTGGATCCACTTGAGCTTTACCTTTTTCTCGTTCTCGCTTCGCGAAAAGGCGCGACCGCGTCGCGTTCTCCGTTCGTTGCCACTAGTTGGCAGCGGAGCCCCGGTTCGGGGCGCGCCATGGCCTGGAGCCCGCAGCTGCTGCGGCGCGCTCGACCTGGCGCTGGTGGTGGTGGCGGCGCTCCACATCCTCGACCCCCCCATGGGCATGATCGTGGGCCGCTGCTGTTTGACATGGCAGCTGAGTCGGATGAGGACCTCGAGCTCGACGCACCACCACACGCTACCACTGCGCAACTGTTGAGTACCTCCGACCCGGAAGTGATCTTCATGGGCTCCGACGAAGGTCTCCAGGACATGGATGACGATGGACCAGTGGTTGACTCCTTTGGACGTCCCAATTTGGCACCTCTCCATGAGCGCTTTGTTGAGGAGATGCCGGATGGCCGGTTCGACCTATTTGGTGACGAACCTGTTCATTCCCGAGCCCCTCGAGTACCTCCTGCCGGTGTACCTGGCCATGTGACCGAACCTCCTGGCCTTAGAGAACCTGGCAGTGCGAAGGTACCAAGACCTCCCAAAGAACCACGACCTGCTCGCGATCAACGACGCCATAATGAACCACCGGTACAACCAGGTCAAGACCTTCGAGGGCATCGACGCAATGAACCACCTCCCCGAGCTGACAGGGGACCCGCGGCCGAGGAGGAGGTGAAGTTGTGTTGTGCCATGTGCTCACGAGTCCATAGATGGTCACCTTCAACGCCATGCCAATACTGTGGCGCCAACAAGTTCTTCGACCCTCGTGCACCTCAGAAGCACCACACGGCATTTGGCACATGGATGTACATGCCACATGATAGCTCTGGCCCACCACCGTCTTCACAGGGCTCACAAACTTCATCCTCGAGAAGGAGAAGGAGACGAAGGCGCAATGGTCGACCAGACGACCCACCTGATGATCCTGAGGGCGACGAACTACATCAAGAAGAGCATGCAGAGAGTGAGCAGCCAACCAACGACCCTGTGCTGCCAGACGAGGCAGCCGAGACGCCTGAGAACCCATTTCACTTCGAGGAGGAACCTCAACGAACTCCTGTACGACCTTCTCGACCTCCGTCGATGGCTGCTTCACAGCGTGTGACACCTGGACCTGCATTGCAAGATCCCATCGACCAACTCAGCAAGGCATTGGCCAAGCTCATCAAGAAGGGCAATTCTTCAGAAGCCTCATGGAATTCCATGATGGGACCCTCCAAGGGGATCAAGTTCCGTGGAGGCGCAGCTCCTGCACCACCGAAGTGGTACTTCAACCCTGAAGATGTCCGCGCCTACGACCGCTACGAGCGGAAGGTATTGTTGTGGGAGATGCAGGCCAGACACTTCATGTCACAGGCTGAGATTGGTTTGACCCTGTACGCATCCCTGCAGGGAGAAGCAGAACAGCAGCTTGAGTTTTTGGAGATGAGCGAAGTTTACTCCAAGACCGGGGTCAAGACCATCCTCGGTCTCCTCAAGAGCGCTTTCCAACAAAAGCAGGTTTATGTGAAGCGCCACTACCTCCACACCTACGAAAACATCAGCCGCTTCGGCTCAGAGTCCTTACGGACTTTCATCAACCGGTACAAACGTACCGAACTGGCTCTGAAAGCCGTCGGCGTGGACATTGCTCTGTCCTACGATGCTGAAGCAAGAGGCAGCCGTTTGTTGGACCGCTGCCGATTGAGTCAAGATCAACAACGACTGGTTCTCGTAGGCACGAACCAGGACATGAGCTTCGACGCGATCGGATCGGCCCTTGTCATGCAATTTCCAGACTACAGGCCTCCACCTCCGATCGCCCAAGCCTACCAGAGCTCAAAAGGACCAGGCGGGAAAGGTTTTCCGCCGAAGCACTTCTCGAGTGGAACTACTTCCTCGGGTATGTCTTCGGCAAGCACAGCTCCGACCTTGGCTTCCTCCTACCGCAAGGGCGATGGGAAGAATAGACCGAGGCGTGTTTTCCAGACGGTCAACGAGACCATGGATGGCTCGCCAGATGGCGAGGCAGAGGATCCACCTGCTCCTGAGGATCCATCTTTTGATTTTGAAGAGCCAGCCAACGAAGAGGACGCTGGCGACGACATCGACGGCACCGATGACAACCATGGTGCCGAGGATGTGGAAAGCTTGATGCACGTGCTCACCGTCACGGCTCGCAAGCTCGCGGCCATGAACCAAGGCCGCAAATTCAGGAACGCTCCAAAGAAATCCATCGAGCAGCGAAAGCAAGAGTCACCTTGTGCCGCCTGCGGCCAACTTGGCCATTGGGCTGGCGATGAAGCCTGCACTGTCTCCGCCAAAAAGGGCAAAGGCAGTGGCAAGAGCAAAGCAGCCTCCAGCTCAGACAAGTCGGACGGCAAAAAGGTGTTCACAGTGAATCACTACACGGGCTTCCAAACTCATGAGGAAGCGGAGGGATGTTCGGACGTCGAGTACGAGCCGCATGATGTTTTGGTTGTTTTTCAAACATCCCAACTTCCTGCAGCATCCATGAAGCACGCTGCTCACTTCATGATTTTGGATTCGGCATGCCAACGATCGTGCACTGGAAGCCAATGGTTCAACGAGCACCAGATGATTATGAACAAGTTTGGGTATGACATCCCTATCAAGTCCAGCTATGAGAAGTTCAAATTTGGTGCCGGCGAACCCTTGACCTCCAACCAGCTCGCGTTTCTTCCCGCCGGCATTCGAGGTCATGTTTGTGTTTTTGGAGTACATGTTTTAGCAGCTGACATTCCGTTTTTGGGCAGCCTTTCGGTCATGCACAAGTTGTCATTGACGTTGGATTTCGCCAACCAGATCGCCGTGTTGGGTGTGTTTGATGGTTTGAAGGTTCCACTTGTGAAAGTTTTGGGCCACCTTGCAATCAAGATCACTGAATTTCCCACCACGGACTCGCATGCTTTGATGTCATGGTCACACGACAGTCCTGTTTGCAAGAAGCTCATGCACTCGAAGGAACATGAAGTCATCATTTTGCCACCGCCTGCAGCCTTTGGGACAGCTGATCTCGAGCCCGCTGACCTTCCTCAGACCGTCCTTCATGCACGACGGGCCAGCGACATCGGCAGAGAAGTCATGGGCCAGCTTGGTCAAAAGGCTGATCCGCCTGACCATGAGCGTGTGGACGCAAATGGCGGCCTCAGTCAAGATGGGCATCATGCCGCTCGAGCAGTACAAGGCAATGCTAGCGTACGGCACCAAGAAGCTCAGCAAGAATGCCAATACCGGCAAGGGTGGACAGGCCAAGGCCTCCAAGGACAAGAAGATCGTTCCGACACCGGCAAGTCCACCACCGCCAAGTCGACCGGCATCTTCGTCACAGAGCTACAGCACGGGAGCCGAGCTGACGCTCGCACCTCCGAAGGGCAAGACAAGCAAAGCCAGCCGCATGGGCTATGCTCCGACCAATCCATTCGGCAAGACACCAACATGCAATCACCCGGACTTCATCCGCTACGGCAACGGATGGGGCAACTTCGCAAGGTGCAAAGCATGTTACCAGAGGTGGCGCTGGAACGACGCGGAAGGCGTCTGGAAGTCGGATGGCTTTTGCTCCAAACCCTCGCACTCGCCGCAGTCACCCTGGACGGCGGTGGAATCGATCACTCAGGTCTACCAGGAGCCCTTGATGCTGGTGCCAGAGGAGACTATGCCGACCCATCAGCCCAAGCAGCTGCCTTTGCATCGTGCCCAACCAAAGCGCAGGTCCAGGGCACCATCAATGACCTCCTCGGCAGCGGGCCATGGATTGACAGCAGCAGCGCTTCAAGACTTCGATGTCCTGATGGACAACGCCAGCACCTTCGGCACCCTTCACAGCCGCATCTTAAGCTGGGACTCCGGAAGCGACTGAGCGGCAACATGGCAAAGAATGTCAAGACCTTGGAGAATGAGGTGAACGTGCTCGACCACATGCCCTATAAGGAGATCATAAAGAACAAGGTCGACCTCCTCGAGCTCTACAGCGGCGCTGCAAGACCAACGGCTTTGGCAAAGCAGCATGGATTGACTTCGCTGCAACCCTTTGAGAAGGACGATGGCTATGACCTGAACGTTCGACAAGTGAGGAAATGGTGCACTCAGGCGATCAACCAGTTTCGACCTCTTTTGCTGCTGGTCGGATATCCCTGCACCCTCTACAACATCTTCAATGAGAATCTGAACTATTCCTCACCTGATCGACGTCAGGAACTCTATGAACTTCGTCAGGCAGACCTGGACGGACTGCGATTCGCCATACAACGGTGCCTTCAACAGCTCGCCAACGGTGATCTCTTCTTCCTCGAGAACCCGCTCCGTAGCAGGCTCTGGGATCAACCGGAGGTTCTTCGACTGGCACAGCACCCGGATGTCATCAAGGGCAGTTGCGACTCTGGTGCATATGGCGCTACTGACAAAGACGGCTATGTGATCATCAAGTCCTTCGGCTACCTCACCAATTCCACTGAGATTGCCAAGGAGCTCTCCTGCCGCATGACCAAGGAGGAGAAGACGCATGCAAGGCCGCTTGAAGGCCAACGGGTGACGGACTCACAAGTCTACCCTGTGAAAATGGTCCATGCGCTGCTTCGTGGCCTACGAGCTGAAGCACAACGACGTGATCCTGCACGATTTCAACCTGTGCACTGGGTCCTATATGCTCAACCGGTTCACGATGAACAACGCTGGACTCAAGAACTGGACATGGTGAAGAAGCTGTTCGGCAACACGTCAGCCCGGACAATAACACTCAAGCCCTCCAGCGAGATCTACCAGATCGTCAGCGAGCTTGTACCATGGGAGCTCAGCCGTGTCCAGGCCACTTCAAGACCAATGATCCGCCGGCTGCCTCAGGACTTTCCATACACTCATCGAGGCAGTGCTATCCAGTTCAACGACAACACCTTCGAGCTGGAATCTGAGGATCTTGGAGCTCTCGAGTTTCCGAGGCAGAAGTTTGGCCGTCCTGTGGCTTTCGCGATCTTCTTCTACGGGGTCGCTGAAGATGAAGACAAGAAGCCAGACAAGCCAAAAGAACAAGAGCCACATCATCACATTCCAGGCCTCAAGACCGACGTCAGCTTTCCTGGACTACCTGCCGGAATTCCACGAGAAGTTCAAGCTTCAGTGGCTCGATTACATGTGAATGCCGGACATCCAGCCCGGCAAGAGATGATCCGCCTTCTGACGATGCATGGGGCCATTACGTCTCAGATCCTCTCCTGCATCGACCACCTCCAATGCGGATCATGCAAGAGGACACAACTTCCTCAACAACCTCGTCCAGCAGCCATACCGACCATGTCAGGCCAGTTTGGCGATCGACTTCAAATCGACCGCTACTGGGTAAGAGACCTCACTGGCGCCAATCACTGCTTCCTTGGCATTGTCGACATGGCCACGAACTACCAGCAGACGATTCGGCTCACTGGACAAGGCGCCAAAGATGTCTATCACGCCCTCTGCCAAGTTTGGTTCAAGCCTTTTGGACATCCCCTGGTCATTGAAGCTGACGACGACCGGAACTTCGAGGGCGAGTTCAAAGAACGCATCGAAGGCTTTGGCACACACCTTCTCATTGTGCCGGCTGAGGCACACTGGAGGATCGGAAGCATCGAGCGCAAGAATGCCATCCTGCGCTCAACAATGGAAAAGATGATTGATGAGTATGGAGTCACACATCCAGAGATGCTCGACGACATCGCCCTGGCCGCCACACAGGCGATCAACAGCTCAGTCACCTCCAAGGGACGCACACCCTACCAGGCTGTATTCGGCCGTTTACCAAGGTTTCCTGGTGACATCCTCGGTGATGAACGTGCACTCCTGGCCAACTACGACGCTGTCTATGCGGAGGAGATGAGAAGTCACGCTCTGCGCATCATCGCAGAGACTAGAGCATCACATGCAGTTCGAAGAGCCCTCCTACGAAAGACAGCACCATCTCGTGAAGAAGCACAGGCAATCCTACCTGGCTCTATGGCAGCATACTGGAGATGGCAAAAGAAGTCAAAGGGGCGCAAACGCGGAGGCTATGTCCTGGCGCGACTGATGAGCCATGACCCTGACAACAAGAGCGCCTGGCTTCACAATGGCAACAGTGTGGTTCAAGCCACCTATGAACAGATTCGGCCAGCATTTGGCATTGAGAACTGGTGCCCCTCATCACAGGACATTCAGATGCTTCGAGATGGCAGTACTAGACTGCAGAAGGGGCTATGGCAAGATGAACGTGGACCACCACCTCCTCGTCTTGACCAGCACCTGAAGTTGAATTTGAACGGGCTGAGCCAATACCTGACCTGGTGATGCCTCTGGCACTGAAACCGTCACCAGCAACACCGGCTCCAATTCCAAAGACTCCTGATCTACCACGACCTCAGCCAATGGTCTACTCTCCGACCTTCAAGCAACAGAATGCTCAGGTACACCAGCACTTTGAGGCACCACAAGCAGGACCTTCATTCGGTCTTCCTCCAGAAAACGTGCCAGTACCACCTTCTGAGGACGACATGATCGAGGGCGGCAATCTTGAACTACCTGAACCACCGGTTCCTGCTCTTCCACCCGATCCTGGACTGCCTCAACTACCTGCAGATGGCGAACAGGAGACTCCTGTTCTGATGGATGCTACTGCGCCACCTCATCGAGAACCCGAGACTGGTGAGCCACTGAACAAGCAGCCAAGGCATGAGGTGATGTTGATGACATCTCAAGACCGTGGCCGCCTTCAGCAGATCACACCCCAACCTGATGGATGGGATGGCTCACCGATCATCGAGAGTGACAACCCATGCATGGTCTACAGAACAGTGGCCGCCGAGATGCTCAATGAGCCGCTCTCTTCGGCGTCCTCCGATGATGAACAAAGAAAGCAGCCATCTGATCTGGCGCGAATGAGCCGCCAAGAACGCAAAGCCATGGATCGTGAGATTCCCTGGCGTGAAATCATGAAGAAGGACAAGGGCACCCTTGAGGCCTTCATTGTCGCCAACATCAAGGAGTTCCAATCTTGGCTCTCCTGGGAATCCATCAGGGCCCTGACCGAGGCCGAGTCAAGGGCTGTCTACGCCTCAGCGGTCCTCAAAAGAAGAATCATTCCTGCAAGGAATGCCTACAGGGACAAGAACCGATCGATCCCTCCGCTCAAGGCAAAATGCCGCACAGTGGTTCTGGGCTGTCTAGACCCAGACATGGAGATCTTGGACAGAACAAGTCCGACCCCAAGCCGGCATGCAGAAGCCATCCTCCTTCAACTGGCAAGCGCTGGGCTGAACGCCCGAGTCGAGAGGCAGAAGCATCGATGGAAACTCTGGGCTGGAGACGTCTCTACGGCTTTCCTCCAAGGAAGTCCTGAAGCACGACCCTTGCCTCTCTACATGAAGCCACCACGGGATGGAATCCAGCAAATGGCCAAAACTTTTCCGGCAGAGCTCTACGAGGTGGTCGGCAACCTGTACGGTTTCTGTTCCGCACCAAGGACCTGGACAACCCATGTGACCAAGGTCCTGATGAATGACGCCAAGCTGACCCGCCACAAGCTTGAGCACATGATGTTCTACAGCCGGGACGCCAACGGCTACCTGGAGGTTTGCTGCATCGTCCATGTTGACGACTTCCTCGTTGCCTTCAGGGATGACTATGACACGAGCCGCATCCTGGGCAAGTTCAACTGGGGAAGCCAAACCTACCTGACGGAAGAGACACCCATCACCTTCCGCGGCAAGGAGCTTCGCTTGGTGAAAGACGGCGACCTCTTCGCCATCAAGGTGACACAAGAAGCCTTCATCAATGAGATCACCCCCGGCAAGGTGGAGAAGAAGCGGCTTGGCGAGGGCATCAAATTGAGCCCAGATGAATGGAAAGAATTCCGCAGCTGCGCGGGATCACTCCAGTGGCTATCGGGGCAGTCTCGACCCGACATCAGCGCCTTGGTGTCCCTCAGCAACCATGGAAAGGACACCACAACAAAAGAACTCCAGCAGCTGTACGAATGCATCGACATGGTCAAGAACACAGCTGCTTTGGGCTTGCTCTACCACCCGGTCAGCTTCGACCGCGCCATGCACCTGGTCGGATACTCCGATTCCTCATGGGCCAATGCACCTGGCGGCAAAAGCCAGATGGGAGTGCTGATCCTGGCATGCTCGCCGGCCTGCTTGAGCGGCACCGCTCGAGCGTCCATCCTGGACTGGAAGAGTGCCCGCAGTCCGCGGGTGACAAGGTCAACACTGGCCTCCGAGGCCAATTCAATGGATGAGACGGCCGACAGAGCCACCTACATCAACAGCTACATCAGCGAGCTCCTCTATGAGGACTATGTGCTCGGCCAATGCCATTTGGCCCAACTCCAGGTGACCGACTGCCGGTCCCTCTACGATGCACTTCTGAGCCCGAATCCGGCCCTGAGTGAGAAGCGCACGATCATCACCGTGCGGTCGATCCAGGAGCATGTGGACGCAAAGAGCGTCCGGTGGACACCCACCAATGTCATGTGGGCTGACTGCCTCACAAAGGTCAGCACTGACCTGATTTTCAGCTTCCAGCAGTGGATGGAGCGGCCAGTGTGCACCATAGTCGATCCAAAAGAAAAACACACCAGTGTGAATTTTGTGGTTCTTCCGCTTTCGCACCATGTTGAATCTCCATGCACACCCGCCGCAGCTGGATCCACTTGAGCTTTACCTTTTTCTCGTTCTCGCTTCGCGAAAAGGCGCGACCGCGTCGCGTTCTCCGTTCGTTGCCACTAGATATACGCATAGGTTTGTCCTATATACAGTAACAGTAACAGTAACAGTTGGTGAAGAATTGTAACTATTTTAGAGAGGTCGGCCTGCAACTGAACCGTCATCCATGGTTACTGGTAATAGGATAGACCCAAGTGATAGAACTTTTTTAGTTCTCATCAAGGTTCAACTCATGGTTGGACACCTCTCATTGTTACACCTGCATGAGTTAGGGAACTCTTCCATCGTTTTTATTTTTGTTTCCACCGGACTTTGTGAAGGAAGACGGCCTTTATCTAAGCCCGGGACTTGGACAGGTGAATGGGATGTTCATGAGTCCAACGAAATAGGATCGCATGGTTGAGTGCAACAAAGGCGGGGCTTTGATTAACTTTGGGAAGTTTTCCTTTTGATCCATTTTGTAATGGCCCGCACTCATTACAGACTCCATGGAACCAAGGTACACTAATATATATATATATATACTGGGTAGTAGCAGGGTTCAAAGGCAGCCCTTTGAGTCTTTGAGACTTCTTGTTGATGTTCCCCCCCAGAGTCCCGCATTGACGAGAAAACCCGTGGAGGATTGTCAGAAACATCAGGGGTGCCACTGGGTTAGTTCAGTTCCGCCTACCTGGAGCCCGCTCTACCCACGGAATCCTACGACTGTTGAAGCTCCGCAGATTTTCCTGTTTTGGTCAATTGGCCGGATAAATCAAGAAGAGAAACTGCCACACTCTCCGGAGGCGCAGTGGTATGTCAGGGACGTGTGTCCACCCCGCAGTCCTGCTTGTGGTCGACCCGAGGCAGACCCAGGTCTCACGAAGACCAGGTGGCAATGGCCAAATTGGACACCTCCATTTCCAGTGCCTTGTCGACGGCACGGTGGACCGGAGTGAATCATAAATTGAAGCATGGACCATGGACCTGTTCGTTGACCTTGAGATGTCAATCTTGCTATCCTGTAGCTCTATGGGGTGCACGGTATGCATTTGGGAGCGCAGTTGGTAGCTGCTAGCTGGTGCTGCACTCAGGTGCTTGGTGCAACCTGTGGTCGCGAAGCTGGAGGATGAAGTGGACAGACACTCGCTTTCGCCACGGGGAGGGTGGGTGCTTTGCTCCTTGCTTTGCCCGGCTTGGTAGGTACTAGTGGGACATTACAAGAATAGAAAATAATAGATAATATCACTGTAGATAATAATGCAACAATATAGAATTTATTCGATTTTGCATTCAGGCTAATTGTAGGAACCTCGATTTTTGACTTTCAGGACCCACACCACAGCCCATCATGGGAGACCAGAGGTTTACTGTATTCCAACCCGCTGCCATGATTTAGCCACGCCATGCAAGAACTGAGGCGGCGAGAGTGTTTGGGATGCGACTCCCATCTCCTGCACAGTGTGCCGCACTCCGCATGACAATTTTGCGGACGGGCGGACTCGCGACAGGGGCAGACGAGCCTGGCTCCGAAGCATAGATACAAGTGGGAAGTGGCACTTGGCACTTGGCCCATGAGGGGATGAATGTGTGTTTTGTTCTTTTTGGTGGTGCCTTTGTAGTTATGTAGACTTGGCCTTTGGGCCTTGAGCTGCTTTCGGTAAAATATGCGTAAGACAGGAGTCCCAAGGCCCAAGGCTCTCCAAGCTCAATTGGGCATGCACAAACTTCTCAGCAGTTCGCTTGGACAAGCTGATAAGCTTGTAAAGTAGCACCATTCATCCTTCTAGTCTAGGCAGGAGTCTCATTTATGTGGAACCATCCGCTCTTTCATTTCATTTGCACCAAACTGTTCTGTTTGAGGCGTATTGAGCCCCAAGGTGCTACAGCATAATTATCAACATCATGTTTAACTGTTTGCCGTGTGTGCATCCAGGCACCGCATATGTCAGATAGTCCTGAGATTTGGGCGAATCTCCAGGAGCATCTGCAGTCACAGCAGCACTACGAATCGTTGCAAGTGCCTGGGCGATTAAGCTTACTGGGACTTTTCTGTGGCAATTGCAGCAGTCTAAGGGGACCTGGCATTTCAGCTAGTACATGTGCTGGCCACACTTACTTGAAATTGTCTTGAAAGTGTCAAAGTTGGATTCTGGAATCTTATGAGATGTTTCTATGCTGTAGAACACCGTATTGAAATCGATTGTTTGGCTGGGGGTGCCCCCATGTTTTGCATTTTCTTATGGGCAGCAGCCCTGAAGCACCTGGAAGTCAAGCAGCAAACCTCCGTGGGCGAGAAATTGTCAGACTCAAGTCAACAAGGTTCTGCCTGAGCTTAGCAGCATTAGCCCAGTGAGAACTTGGTGATTTATATAGATTTTTTTACCCCTAGGTCCTACTGTGCCTCTTTTGAACATGGGGGCTTGGTCTCGCTGCTGGACGTCACGTCCGAAGCACAGTTAGCCCAGGGCCGGTAGGATAGGGAACACGGACCCTATTTATGCGCTTGTTATTCAAGATTGTCCCATTCCTGGTTTATCCTATTCCTATCTACTGAGCCGTGAGTGATGGTCAAGGAACTCCTTCTTGCAGCTAAGGCCAAGATTGGTGAGATGACTGGCAGGACCTTTCAGCGAAGAGATTGGTGACAGTTGTGATCTGGGTCAAGCCCGCAGGCACTGGAGGCCATAATTTTAGAGATGGTTCTTCTTTGGTTCAGCTGGGGAACTATCCCCAAACTGCCGCAACCATGTGAGCAATCGTCCCAAAAACAGTATGTAGAGCCGTCCGTCTTCAAGCAAAAATTACTTGAACCAACACAGGGAAGGCATGGCTCTCCAAAAAAGTGATGCCGTACCAGAACATGAAGGATGAACACTGTCCAAGTGTATTTGTTTGACATGTGTTTGTTCCATTTTGTAGCTTCTTGATCTCAAAGGGAATTTCATATGTTCTCATGAAATGGATGTTTTTACATGCATGTAAGAAGTCAAGAGCAGTCATCTCCGGTGGGGCCAAAGCTCGGGGATTTGAAACCACACCCCCCACCGATGCCTAGCTGGTGAATGATTTTTGCTGCTTGCAAGGCTCTTCCAATGTCAGCTGAGCTTTGCGGTTGCCTTCGGCTCGAGTGAAGTTTGCTTTTAGTGTTTGTGCTTATGAATGCACTTGTTTTGTTGAAACCTGCCTTTACTTACCACAACTGCCAAAAAAAAGCACAGCCTCCCTTCACTTCCATGTGAAAGTCCAAAGTTGTCCACATCTGACGGAAGCGATGGGCCCCCCCAAATCTATGTGATGGCATGAGATTGAACAAGGGGAGTTGTGACAGCACATAGATGGGTTCCGTCCGAGACCGTGGACCGGGTGCAGATCACCGTGGCGCTCGGCAGGAATCCCCGTCAGCTCCGCGCGGATCAGTGCTGGTTGCAGTCCGCGGGACAGATCGCCTGGGACCTCAGAGGTCCGGGAGCTTCGGGCATCGAAAGGCCACCCGTGGCTGAGACAAGTAGCGTTCGGACGCTAGGTGGAGGCCATCGCAAGTAGGTTGGAGGCAATCGCTACTAGGAACAAGAAGCTACTAGTAACTAGTACGTAACAAAGGGAAGTTGCCTTGGATCACTCTTTCTGTGATTCTTCTTGTTTCATTTGCGCGGCCAGTGAACGCATGGCTGAAGATCCCACAGTTGGGCCAGCATGGTTTGAAAGGCAATTCATCACCATGGCACTTTGTCCCCCTACCCAGGTGCACTCGCAAACCAGGCCCAGGCCAACCTTCTCTGTGGGCTCCGAAGGCCTCTTGAGATTGAGACATGTCAACTCTGGTTTTGGGGGCTTGGCCTTGGAAAAACAGCAGGGAGAGAGACCAGAGTTTGTTGACCAAACTTCGATTGCGGTTTTGGTGGACACTTCGCTTTCGGCCCGCGACCCGCTTCTTTGACGCGTCCAGTCACTGAAACCGAGACCTTCAATCACCTCACCGGTGAGATGACGATCACGGGCGAGTGCTGAGGAGATGGTTTTGGGTCAAGGCAGTGGGTTTGGGAGTCACGGTGGGCCACAACTCAAGCAACCCTACGCCCTACGCTGTAAAACTTGGAACATCTTGGAAGACTTCAATCAGTTTGAACACCATTCATTGCTAGATACCCTGTTCCATATCATTTGCTGGAGCAAGATGAGCAAGGTGTGAAGGGACTAGCACGTGACCCTGTCAAAGTTATTAGCGCGTGCTGCTTTCTTCTTCCAATTTCTTTTGAGTGAATTCTGGAGCCAGACCCAAATCAGGTAACGACCAGCAAGTCCACCTGTCTCGTCACCGACTGTCTACCAAAACCCCTTGAATGGGACCCATGCCCCAATGGCCCTCCTAGTGTGACACAACGCATATAGGCACAGGATGGCACAGGGATTTTAAAGCCATTGTTGCACAGCGGATAGACTGAGAACAGTGCGCAGTCTTAGGGCACTGGTGTCTCTCAATGGAGAGGCGGAGCTTGGTGAGATTCGGAAGGCTTAAACGAGACCATAGAGAACGTCAAAGCCAAAGTGATGTTCCGGTGCTTTCTGCCTCTATTGTGTACCGCACCTGCGATCGGGCCAAGATGATGGTCACTGTCTATCAGGACCTGGCTTCGCCTTGCGGGTTCAAGCAGATGCTTTCACAGAAACACGTAGAACATGGCCTTGCCACCGTTGCAAGGCCACAAGTTAGGTTAGCTAGCTAGTTTACAGCTTACCCTCCGTGTGACGTAGAGTATGGAATGGGAATGCAGCGGCATATCTAAAGTAAGTATGACACTCAAAAACCAGCGGAGGGTAGCTGTGTAGACACTCCATGACCAGCACCACCATCCAGCCCTAGCAGTGCGCTCGCTGTTCCAGCCCAAGCAGTGCGCTCGCTGCTTTTGAACAATTCTGATATGAACACGAAGGTTTGTTGGTGTGATTGAACTGCTTACATCGTTTCTTGTACACAGTGCAGTTATGCTTTCTTGATTTGCGGAATCTGAATTGATCCACGGCGATTCTTCCCAAACTGCTCTTTGAATGGGATTTGGATTGGTGTGCTAAGTGTGCTCATGGAATTTTAAAGCAGGCGAGTGCGGAGAGGAATCAAACAACCTGCGCTTGGCCAGCTTGGCTTGGGAGCCATGCACCCATCATCCCTTGGCCTCAATTCAACATCAACACGTCCCCAGGTCCTTTGTTTGAAGGAGTTTGTTTGCTGGCCCTGGCATGTGTGCGAGAGGGTGACAGCGGGCGACGTGGTCATTCTTGCACTAAGTGCATTTGTCAATCTCCATGGCCCAAGCGAGTCGCCTAGACTCACTTCATTCAACTCCGCAGAACGCAGGATTTGTTTTCTCCAGGAGCTATGTGTTCAGGTTCTACATTCATAGCGCGAGAGAGAGAACAGAGAGAGAGAGGGAATGCTAATAAAATATGCAACCAATGTAATATGATAGAATCATAGAATTAATATCACAATTCACAAATAGAAATATCATAGTACACTGAGCAACTTGCTAACCTCCGTAGCAACATCGTTGCCCAAAGCCGGTGGCCACATGGCGCCCATACCTGTGCATAACCATCATGGCAGACGGTGTTACCGACAGTGTTGCAGTCTCCGAGGCTGGCAGAGTTGTAGGATTCAGTGGCTCAGAGTGGCTGGCAGATCGTTGATCTGATGAATGTGACTTTCCACGTGCAAGCAGAAGTATAGAGGTACTCCCTGAATACACATTAACACGCGCACAGGAACCCAAGAGTATCCAAAAGTGAGTGTTTGCAATTTAATTGGCAGTCCGGGAAGCTTTACCGTTGTCCTGCTGTGCTCAACTTCAGGTTTGCTGTTACCAAGCAGATCTTCAATTACTTGACCATCAATCAACAACCCGCTAGGTTAGTTGAAGTGATTTATCTATGAGGACTTCCAGACCATTTTTCCAATTTTCAGGAGATGCTGTATGTTCAAAACGAGCCAATGCCAGAACCTACGCAATCATAGTGACCCCAAGGAAAGACGAGTTAAACTTTGAGTAGATTAAGCGGATTAAGGATGTTGGAGGAATGGCATCAACCCAAGATCCTCCTAACCCATTCCATTCGAAGAGGAGCCGCCAAGATCTTTTCTATTTTTTGATATTTTTTGATATTTGCTGCATCACAACGCAACCCAAGGAACTTGGTCGTTTACCATTTCTTCAGAATGGCACCCACTCTGCGCTGTTAAACCAGCTTGGATGAGGACTGAAAAATAGGCCAACTCATGAAAAAGCGACCTATCGCAGCAGCTCCAGTTGCGCCACCGCTCCACGCCGCATTGGCTCAGCGGTAGTTCACGGGCGCGAATTGAAAACTCAGCGCCCATGGAGTAGTCGAAGGCTCAGTGACAGGCATTAGAGGAGAGCTTAGGGTCATTATTCTGTGACCTGGGACCTCAAAGGACCTCAGTCCTATCCAAAAAGGAATGCACAGTTTTTCCACGGACTCAGAACTCAGAACCTATATATACAGTCCACACATCAAAGGGGGCTCTTCAGAATTGTTAGCAAATGCAGCAGTTTAGAAACAATTATATACCTCAACGTGCTCAGGGGACCTTCTGGCATGGCATGTGCTTGAGCATTTGGAGTCAAGGAACAATTCTCGTGGTTTGGCCAGTCCGTTCTTGATCTAAAACCTGAAAATGAAAAGTCAGGGGTGCACAGAATAGGGTTTTTTGGCATTAGACCTGTCATGCTATACCACATGCCTTAAACATCACCTACCAAGCCGACGACTGGACATGTTTTGCCCAGGTTTCGGAGGTAGAAGAGGCCTGACATCGGGAGTTGCAAAGCACCGCGGGAGGTCAGGCGTGAGAAGGCTCTATGGGTCGCAGAAAGAGCCCGAGGCTTTGGAGCCAAAAGGACCAGCAGGTCCTAAGCTACTAGTAACAAAAAGCTACTAGGGGCTCCTGGCCTTACTACTAGGAGCAAGGACGCTACTAGTAGCTCCTGGCCTTACTAGTAACAAAAAGCTACTAGCAACAAAATGGCTAAGGAGTCGAAAGAACCATGGCCATCAGTGACCCTTCCGTCTGCGCACCTGCTGGCTGCCATTCTCGGCACCCCCAGGCCGTCCACGGGATGGCAACGAATTTGAGCCGATCAGGCGTTCGGGTCCCCTTGGCGTGTGCGGATCAACTGTGGTGATGCAAGGTTCGGAGACTATGGGTTCTTTACTAGAGCAAATTTTGCTTGTATCACTCTGGGAAGATGAGGAGAGATGAGAAACACAGATTACACAGATTCTTCGTGATCCTTTCAAACATGAGAAACAAGACCCTGGCCGGGATATCCACCAACTTCGGGTCCAACGACCTTCGGCGGCTTCGGCAGCGACCCTTTGGAGGTCTGCCGGACGTCAGCCGATCGGTTTGGTCGCTTTGGTCGACGCGCCGGTCGTGCCGGTGGGGTTTGTTCAGAAACGTTGGAACAAGGGGAATAGCGACGTTCACGAAACACTCGCTGGTTGGGATTCGCTGGGGGGTTGGCGAGGTGAAGTGAATCATTCTCTTCATTGATATCGAACAACTCCTACTTTTAGTGATGATGAGTTGTGCAAAAGTCTTTTTGATGGAGACACTCGGACTGGCATGGCTCAGCACATATGTTGCTTGCAGCTACAGTGGAAAAGCTGGGTGAATCGCTTTGGTAGCTGCAAGCTTTGCGAACCCCACCCACCCACCCCTTGTTTGCTGGCCGAAGATGGCAGAATTTGGGCAATAAGTGCCAGCCCTGCCTGCCTGGGTGGCTGGCTGCAATGCAACCATTGCAAAAGAGGAGTGCTGGGTTTTGGGAGAGCTTTCTCAAAAGCCTCACCTCCTTCTACTTGTAGCTGCTGGCTTTCAGGCAGCCTGGGCAATGCTGGCGTGGCCAGCGTTGCCTTCTTGGTCGCGGTGGCCGCCATTTTTGCCTCGGTCACGCAGCCGCAGGATTTTGGGATGGGCATGTTTGGATGGTCCAGTGTACTCCACAGAGGTGCTACAGGGGTATAGGGTCAACTCAATGTGTGAATTGGTTTAGGAAGGTGGGCTGAAAGACCGGTTGAAAATGATGGCTGAAGCGCCCGGGTCCCTTCAACTATGGAATCATAGAGCTATACTAGACTGGTTAGAATAGACTGGTTTTCTGGACTCTTGTTACGCCCAACCGCATGCTCTTTGAGACGCATTTCCTCCGTAAGGCCTTGAGGCCTGTGAGCATTGGCTCAAGCCATGGTGCGACACAAAACGGCCAACAGTGCAAGACATGGCTTGAAGGCTCAAGACTCTGAAGCCAATGGAAGATTGTTCCTTCAGACATCCAACGACCTTTAACTTATAGACTAAAAACAAGCTCCCTCACATCTCACATCATCAGATGACAAGTCCCTGATTCGCTTCCTTCTGCCTTTGCCTCATGACCGATGGGCTGCATTGTCGCGGAGGGGCCTTAGTACTTCTGGCCACATCCTTTGCCGGTCACTTCAAGCCGTGGACTTCCATTGTCCCCACACCAACCTTCAGCGCCAGCGGTAGCGAACGCCACCCGCGTCCTTCAGCGCCGCCAGGGGTCCGGCGGTCCGGGCGGCGATTTCCCAAGAGGCGGCCCAGGGGCGGGGTGGATGTGGTGGCAGAGGCAAGAAGGCAGGCGCCTCCAGCACCAGGATTCCTTAAAGGACTTGTTCGTCCAGATGTGGTGGTTGAGGAGGAGCTTGAGGCTGATGATGTGATGGTGCTGGACAGGCCAGGTAGCACCTTCTTTCTGGGTTTTAAGTCTTAATATGATGATATGTGTTCAGATGTGTTCATGGTTTTACGTGTTGCTTTAAGTGAGATGCTTTAACATGTTTTAACGATCAGTGTGTCTCCCAGTCGTCTCGTCAGGCAGTCAGACTATCAAGACGTGGTTCGCTGGGTCATGGCAGGGGGTCGGGCCTTGGTGGTGGACCACTGGCGTGACCTGGAGCAATGTCGAGCTGCTCTTCTGAAGCCCTTCCGGAAGACACCAGCTGATGCCCAGGAGGCCGAACAGCAGCGAAGGGAGAAGAAGCAGCTCTCCGATCGCCTCTTAGGTCCTGTCGCCTCCGGGCAAATCGCATTGCAAGGTGCACCTCCAGCGGAGTTCTTGCGATCTTTGCGCCTTTGGCATGCCTTGTGCTGACTGGGCCATACTGATATATATATATATACATACTGAGTACTAGTGATGATATTGCCAGTAGTTAGTAGTTGAGGTCGACAGGTGCCCATGCATATCAGAGGGAACTTCATTGATCATAGATGTCATATATGATAGAATGGAAGAAGTCATTAATGGAGTCTGTCAGTTTCTTCCTAGTGTGTCCAGTTCAGATCCAAGATTTCCAAACAGCAAGCACCATACATTTCCATCATCATGAGATTTGATGCCAAGCGTCGAAACCATCGAGACTCTGTTTATTTCAGGTATGGAGACCTTTTCGAAGATGGCTCCAGCTTTGCTTTGCCCTCTGGCGTTTTGTTGGGCTTGGTGAACGCATGGCAATACTTTCAGGGGGGCCTTCGTTTCCCATTCTTCAAACCGCCAGTCTTGTCTGGCCCGGTGCGTCCCTTCTATGGTGTTTATGCCTCCCCATACCCTGTGACCCACTTGGAGTTGCTCATCGAGTGGCTTCAGAACCGCAGCGGGCACCGGCTGCAGACTGCCCTGGACTTGGGCACCGGCTGTGGCGTGGTGACCTTGATCTTGCGGAAGATCGCCGGCGTCCCAAGCATTGTGGCCACGGACGTGAACCCCAATGCCGTCTACGGCGCGCGCGAGGAGTTCCGGCGCCAAGGCGTGAACCACGTGGAGGTGCTGCGCTCTGACCTCTTTGGCGAACTGCAGGGACGGCGCTTTGACTTAGTGGTCTTCAACCCGCCCTGGTTGCCTCTTCCGAAGGCCGATTCAGAGGAACCCAAGAGGACGGTACTGGATGGGGGCAACTTCTATCCGGAGGAGTTGTTCCCACTGCTGTTCGATGGTTTACCCAGCATGTTGAATCCTGGCGGCGTGGCCCTACTTTTGTTCTCCAACCATGCCGTCAGCAGAGGATATGTAGATGAACATCCATTCCACTCCGCCTTCTCACGGAGCCGGTCCAAAAACGCCCTGCACATCCGGGAGGTTTTCACTCGAGAGTTCGACCTGGAAGGGAGACGTCGACGGACCGGACGCCCTTCAAGCGAGATCGAGCCGTGTGCAGAGCTGTGGGAGTTTCGAAGAGCGGAAAAAGGCCACTTTCTGTGTGCACTTTCTGGGTGATGCTCTTCACGACACCCGCGGCTAAAGGATTACAAACACAGGTTCTTAGGGAATTGCACCTGATGGAGTGCACTGCGTCTACTATATCATATAAAAAATTAGTGTCTTTATGTTTTTTTTCATTGTTTTTCCTTCACTCGAGCAGGAACAACTTTGCAGTATCCGGATTCATCAGTTCAGAAATGATCGGAAATGTATGTGTTTTTGTACAAAGGCATGTAGGATATACTGTTAAAAAACAACCCTTTCATCAAATTTACTGGTATTTACATTGTTTTATGCATATTTTTTGATATAAAAAGTCTAATTACTTTACTTCGAGTGATCCCCACCATGACATTCATAAATTTTATTGTATATCTTCTTGCATTCTATCTGGCAAACTATCTAGCATACTATCTGCCATTCAATCTGCCATTCTATCTGGCAATCTATCTGACATAGTATCTGGCATACTGTCTGGCATACTATCTGGCATTTTGTCTGGCATACTATTTGTCATTCTATCTGGCATATCTTCTGGCATTCTATCTGGCATTCTATCTGGCATATTTTCTGGCATTCTATCTGGCATATCTTCTTGCAGCATATCTGGCAATCTACCTGGCATTCTATCTGGCACTTTATCTGGCAAACTATCTGGTTGAGGTCCAGCGGTGCACACTGCGATCGGATCCTTGCGGTTGAGGTCCAGGGGTGAACACTGCGATCGGATTCTTTCGGCTGAGGTCCAGGGATGCACACAACGATCGGATCCTTGCGGTTGAGGTCCAGGTATGCACACTGCGACAGGGTCCTTGCGGTTGAAATCCAAAGATCCACACTGCGCTCGGATCCTTGCGGTTGAGGTCCAGGGGCGCACACTGCGATCGGATCCTTGCGGTTGAGGTCCAGGGGTGCACACTGCGATCGGATCCTTGCGGTTGAGGTCCAGGGGAGCACACTGCGATCGGATCCTTGCGGTTGAGGTCCAGGGATGCACACTGCGATCCGGAGCTTGCCAGACAAGATCGGCGAAGCAGATTGGCGAAGAAGATTGGCGATGAAGGTTAGCGATGAAGATTTGCGATGAAGATTGGCGAGGAGGTTGGCGAGGAAGGAAGCAAGGAGGAAGGAAAGAAGGAAGGAAGGAAGGAAGGAAGAGGAAGAACAATTGTGATAAAATCTAACAACCCTCACCTGGCAGGTGGGGAATAAACACAATGCACTTTACAATTCAAAAAAGACGAACAAAATAAGCAAAATAAAAATATGTCCCCAATGACACTATTTCTGCATTTGGTTACACAGGCGCACTCCACGTCAAGAAGTGCTCAAGCCTTTGGAACGCAGGGGCGCACATTCGTTCCGTTCTCATGTTCATTTGTTTTGGGATGTTTTGGGTGCTTAGTGCTTGGATTTCGGCGTTTCCTGAAGCAGGTGATCGCGAATGGCATCAGAGGAATTTGTAAGATCCAGTGGTTAGTAAATAATGCAATTGCGCTTTCTACAGACAGTTCCAGCACAGCAAGACAGCTTCGAGAAAAACACGCTGTTGGCAAGGAAATGGAGCGCAGAATGGTGCCCAGCCAGTCCTATCACATAGACAATGCCATTTTCCATTGCTATTATAGTCCAGGAGTGTCCCTTCAAGAAGCGGAGGCTGCCCACACAAGTAGTTTCTTCTTCGGACGCTCGAGAAGCGGCAATACATGTTGCCCCGTGAGCCCAACATTTCACTAGTTGTATGAAATACGAAAAGTCGCTTAATGGAAACAGAGTCCCGGATCCAACCGATGAGCACCACTGAACACCCCTCATGCATACATTTCCTTCGCCTACAACGATGAGGTTGCCCAAGAATCTGCGACGCGGGGTTTGCATAGAACACAACTTGATATGGCCTGCAACTGCAACTTCATATTTTCCAGGGCTTGCGGCAGTTTTAAGACGTTTTGAGGCAGGCCGATGATAATGACACACGCACACCAACATACACGCACACACTTAGATCATGGCTCGCAAGAGCTATATTTGTTATGACTTCCCAGTGAGATTAGCCCTTTAGACGAATATAGCGCTTGATTGAAGGAACGGCAGGAGTGGCTGGGTCGATCGAACAGAATGTTTCAACATCATTAGCCCTTCAGAGTGAGCTCAACAATTCCTGCAGGTACGTGACTTTGGCGTCCCAAAGTCATATCACAACACGATGGAAAGGTCTTCGTTGGGCAATGCCTTCCAAAGTGTTCATTGCCCCCTTGCTCTGTACATGGAAAGATGTAACATTAGACAACATAAGAGTGAATTAGCTGCAAGTGTTCCTTAGTGTAGTCGAAATCCTTAGAGACAGGAGTTGACACACACACACACACAGATGTGGTAGAGACCATAGGATAGACGCGTATTTCAGCAGTTTCCGCCGAACAGGTCAGGATTGGATGGTTCAAGTAGCCACCTGTTTCCTACCTTGGTGGGATTAGCCAAGCCCAACGCTCGATGGTCGGTTGAGGCCTTAGCAGCAACTGGTGCGGCGGCCGCAGCTGGCGCGGGCATTGCTGTGCTGGCTGCAACCGGGGCCGCGTTGACCGGTGTGAGGCGGGAAGAAAGTCGAAGCAGGTTGAGACCATTGCCAACCAGTTTCCCCAGTTTTCATCCATCACGCTTTGCAATCTTTTTGCCAAAGCCGGACTTTGTAAGATATGTGTAAAACGAGTTGGGACGGACATGGAGCTTCACACAACCCAACGCCTAGCGGGAGCTGCGTTTGGCTTTGCACATGTGAGCCATGCTGCCCTCCATGGGCCGCATACCCAGTAGAGTCCTTGCCCCTAGTAGCAATGCCCTTTGTACCTAAGAGTGCCACCACCAGTGCTTGAGAACTCCGTTTTGACCACAGGAGCGGCGATGAGCCTTGCTGGGCGAGCCACTGTGGGCGTCAGGCCGGGGTGTGAGGTAGGAAACGAGCTGTGCACCTTGGGCATTCCGTCCATCCCGCCAGGATCGCTTAAGCTCAGAGCTGGTATTGCCTGCAGGCGTGGCGAATGACACTTTGGGAGCTTTCAGGGTGCTGCTTGCATGTCAATGTGGTAACCGACTGCGGAAGGAAGTGAGCATACTTGCCGAAGGGCCTCGTAACTTTAAATGGATAGCTCATGTTGCCTAGAATATCCTAGAATATGTATGAAGATCCAGGCCCTTTGTTTTAAAGTTGCTCAATTGTAGCTTGGATGGACAAGAGGTAGTAGAATGCACTTGCCCTTTAGCCGGCCGGTGGCTGTTGGCGTTCCATGGTGTATTTGGGTCCGTTCCCAACCAGCGGCAGTTGGCCAGAATTTGCCATTTGCGTTGGGCATGAGACAATATCAGACATTATCAGACATTTACCATCGAGACGAGATTTGTGGCGGTGGGATATGCCAAATTCATGTTTATATAGACGTTTGTCCGTATGTGAGTCTGTATGTGCGGACTTCAGTTCAGTTATGACATGTTCCAATTGAACAACACAGTCGCCATGTTTTTGTGCAGGAATGCCCTCAATTGTCAATCAAACAAGCATAGAGTAAGATAGTATTGGAACATGTTCAAACACACACTTCCAGGGGAGACAAGTCTTTGTAGAGACATGTAGAGACCATGATCCGCCAATCCATGCTTTCCACTTCCTGCCAAATTCACTTCTCAGAGGCCCCGGAGCAGTGGTCATTGCAATGCTTTGTGGTGTTGTATTTTTGGTGCATCCACCGGTGTACGTCGTGTGCGTATCTACTAAGCCTCCATGTCGCTAAGAGACCCATGTCGCTTTTCGTCACCGGTTTCCGTCGCCAGCTCCGCACGTCGAGCTGGACGTGTCCGAGTCACTGCCCTGCGGGACGCGCTCGGAGAAGGCCGGAGGGAAGCGGGTTGGCCTTGGCTTGTCAGAGTGGACGTTTCACAGGTAGAGAAGGTTTCAGATACGTAGAGGGTTTGGGTTCGTTAAGTCATGCTTTGCATGTGGTGCCTGTTCAAAGATACCAACACTTACTTCATACATTCATTGTTATACCGCCTAGTAGTACTATGGCATTATATATAGCCGCATTGTATCCAAGACTGTGGTTTGAGGTTTGAGTTTTCTTTGAACACGAAACGGGGCGTCCGAAGAAGCAACACCCATGTTTCTTCCCAACTTTGAATGAACACACCCGGCATCCCAAGGGCCCTAGAAACTAAATTTGACAAAACTCATGTGTTTGACAATATCGTTTAGCTTATTATGCTTTGTTGGTTTCTTGAGCCACACGTTGTAGGCTCCTGGGCCGGGAGTCAGGAGTCCATGTCAACCATCGTCCACCCCTTCCCGCAAGTACCTTTGTACAAGGGGATGATCATGCCAAGCGGCATGGCCTCATTTGTGTGCAAATGGCTTCCCTGCGAGGTGCGGAGGGTGCGTTTCAATCTCACCCAGATGCTTGGAAGGATGAGTTGTTGGAGATTCGAGACAAAATTGTTGTGGACATTGCCCATCTGGTCTGTAGGCACCATATAAGTCTCCGGGCAACCTGGTCCCAAGTGGTTACCTACATATGCCAAAGGGCTGGGACACATGGATGAAGATGGTGGGTCCTGTCACTTTACTCTTTACTCATCCAAGAGTTACAACATCAACTTTAACTCTGGAATCATTTTCATTGCCAATTAGGCCAGGCCTTTTGACTTCGGCCGCATGTTCTGTGAGGGCAACTATGTTGTGGAGATCCTGAACTTGTCTTTGCAAGGGTCAGCAGAGACAGTTGACGCTGACCCTGCTGCTGCCGACCCCCCTGGGTTTGTCTTAGCGCAGTGATGTCAACATGAAAATGCTTGAAGTTTTACTACTAGGAACAAGAAGCTAGTAGTAACAAGTGCCACGCTACTAGGAACAAGTGCCTTACTACTAGGAACAAGTGCCACGCTTCTAGTAACAAGTGCATCGCTTCTAGTAACAAGTGCCTTACTAGTAGTAACAAGAAGCTACTAGGGGCTCCTGGCCTGAAGTCTTAACTTCATGGGGTTGTCTCGGCTCGTCTCTTCTTCTGGAATGTCTCGTTGAGAAAGCTTACTGCAAGTTGCATGGAGCAACATTGGGACCACAGCATACCACAGCTATTTGGATATCAATTTCCTCGGAGTCTGTCTTTCCTTTTGTAGAGGGGTAGTCGCCACCACGTTGCGTTGCTATCGTTTCGCATTGCGCGCCACCGGCGCCGCCGTTAAATGTTGCAACGCTGCAGCCGAGGAACACGGTGCATGAGATCACCCCCTACTCCGAGATCTACGGTATGCATCCGTGCCTTGAGCAGGTGATTGGCGTGCGGTGGGACAATAGAGGTGGATCTGGCACACAGGGATCCAACGCTCCAACATCGGGAGTTTCTGTTGACTGCACCAAGAGGGGCGAATGCAAATGCATAGACACTCTTTCTTTCTTTCTTTCTTTCGTTTTTTCTTTCTTTAACTTTCTTTCTTTCTTTAACTTTCTTTATTTCTTTAACTTTCTTTCTTTCTTTCTTTCTCTCTCTCTCTCTCTCTCTGTCTCTCTCTCTCTCTCTCTCTCTGTGTGTTTGTCTTCCACACGCGACCTGCTGCAAGATCAGCAAACTCCCCCAAACGGGTGACTCATCAACAGTGAGTTCGACGCTGGATCATCAGCCACCACGTTTGGTGCGCATTGGCATTGACCAATCAAAGCTTTCAGCTGTCCTTGATTGTCCTTGGCCCCCGTTTTCCAACAGAGTGCAGATAGCAATCGAGCATGGAGGACCCTTGGCCCTTGTGCATGTTCGTCGATCGGAAACTGTTCCGTAATCGCATGCTCAGATGTTTCATGATTTTTCTATGATTTTCCCTATATATATATTATATTTTTTTCTAACTAGATGACTAGATCTAAGTAACTATATATAGTATTGTATAACTAGCATTCACATCGTTTCGTTACCTACTTTCGTCAAAAGCACTCAGCAAACAGCGAACCCAGGCGGCTCTTGGGAATTCAAGAAGGGGCTTCATGCCTGGAACCGATTGATGAGATGGATGAGGACCGGTACCATTGAATGGCTGATCCAGCGATGTCATGCCATGTCCGGTGTGTCCGACAGAGTCTCGTCGTTTTGCTTGGGCCGTGGGTATTGAAGGTCCTGGCCACCATGGTAATGAGGAAGAAGACGGGACTTATGGGCCGTGGTCGCTGTATGTTGCAATGGTATGCAATGGCCAGAGAGTTCCAGCTTGAACACTTGCCGCCAGGATGAGGAGAATGAGGATAATGATAATGAGGATAGCACCTTGACTTGCAATGGCGCCGAATTCTACCGTCGATGGTGTGCTCCGTTGGAATGATGTGGAAATTCGGCACGTTTTTGGTTTATTTTGCAGATCTCGTTTGAAATGCTTGGGCCTGTCGAGCTTAGTGTCTCGGAATGACATGTCACATGTCGATTCAGTTGTGCAAGATCATGTCATGTGCATGAGGGATTCAGGAGGGTCCTCTTTGACAAACTTCTGCTCTTTGCTGAGGCTTCGATGCTCTCGCCTTGCACCTCCCAGGGGTGCTGGCGAAGGAGAGGTCCTCAGCAGTTGGCAGAGATGAAGGTCAAGCGACAACTGCAATCCCTCCCTTTCTGAGTTTCTACTGTAAAAGGTTGCGCCATACCCACATCCACCCAAACCTACTCCACAGAGAGGTTGTGTCTTGCTTTGTCCGTTTGAGGCGTCCAAGAATGCGTGGCCTTTGCTGCTGTTGAGTGTCTTTTGGCTTTGGGCCTTGGGCTCCAAGACCTTGCTCGACTCTCGGCGTTGCCCATCAGCGCATGAGCCGGCTGTGTTGCCATATGTTGCCATAGGCCTCCGGACTGAAGACCAACAAAATGCATGAATGTGGGTGGCGTTTCAAGGCATACCTACTTGCCTTTCTTCATGTTTCTTCCCCTCTCCTTGAACTGTGGAAGTTGTTGCCGAAGTTCATCGACATGCAATCGCAGAACTTCACTTAAATCCTCAAAACCACTTCCAGCCCAGGGTCACGACTTCAAGTTCAAGTAGGATTTCAATGGGATAAACCGGATGGCCGGATGAAGCTTTCTCGGAGCTTCTCACATCCACTTCGTTGTCACAGCCGTGGGCTCCCAGTTCTTGGGCCAACCCCGCGTCCCGTCCGCCATGTTCGTGCCACCGCCGCCGAAAGTGGTCCCACCAATGCCGGTGGTGGCACCTTACGTCTCGGACGCGGACGTGCGGAAGCGGCTTTGGGAGCTTCAGATGCGGCAGCATCTCAAGGCTTTGGAAGGCCCTTGAAGCTTGGAGCGGGCTGTTTGTGGCTGTTGGTCTTGGTGGCTGTTTGAAAAGTTTGTGCCAGACTCTGAGCTCCGAAGCTCCCAATTCTAGAGTGTGCGACATTTGGAACCATGGGTGCCAACTGAAATCCCTATTGTATCCTATTGTATCTTATCCCTATTCACACCACTAAATAGGTTTTTGGCTTATTAGGAATTTGCTCACTTTAGATTTCTGACCAGGGGGCGTTGGCATGTTTGTAGCGCCCTGAAGTTGGAGGTGTGGAAGTGGAAGGTCAATTTTCCCGCTTGCCAATTGAAACCGTCGACCTGTGCAGACCCACAACACAACTCTCAACCCACAACCCAGCTGAAAACCTATCCATCCCCAGGCGTGTCCTCATTTAAAACATGTTTTGACGCTCTCGACACGGTGACCTACTTCGATGCCTCACGTGCCCTCCCACCTCGCACGCCAGGCGTCACCAGCTGCATGGATCAATCCGACCCGGTGGCGGCCAATGTGGCGGTGCGCAAGGCCCGCGAACGGGCCCGGGACTTCGCACGCGATGAGATGAGGACGGGCGCGGCCTGGCGCGGTGGTGGGGTGGAGGGCCGAGGTATCAGTGGTTGAGGCATGTTGATATTAAGGGTTTCTAGAATCTAGAAACTTCTAGGCGTCCTGTTAAGCATCATCTATTGATTGGAATCCTGTGAGTAGGAGTTCCCCAGCAATCTTTCTTCTCTGTGCCTGAGGGCTTGAGTATGGCTCCAGTAACTAGCCAGCCAAGGTGAAGAGCAGCCATCCACGTAAGTGAGAAGTAAGGAAGGATGGTTTACCATGTTTAATGTTTTGCAGTTGTAGTCTTGGCATTGAAGGTCGCAGTCACAGGCAAAAGGTATGCACCTTGGAGCTTTGTAGGTTTCTGAACGGAGGCGCGCCAAAACAGCAACCCGGCTCCCTAGCCACAAAAAGGAGGCTTAGCTGTGGCTGATAGCTGGACCACAGCATAATTGGCTACATGCCTTTGGCTCTTGACTACTTCAGGAGAGATGTGGTCGATGGAAACAAGCAACTTGTGACGCGACTGAAGGCCGGGGCATTGTGGATGTTCAAGCCAGACTGCGTCCAGCACATCAGTTTCTGTCATGCCTCCACTTGGCTTCCCAAAAGTGATGAGATCCACAGATCCATGAGTAACCAACTCCACCAAGCAGATGGATCAACAAAAACACAGATTGAAGATACTATATATTTACTGTATTTATTTTGTTGATTTGTGTGATAGTTTCAGCGAAGGGTCTGGAGGTACCCTCCAGTATGCCCCCAAAGTGATGCTGTTTCGGTGTCCCAGCCGTCCTGCCTGCTCATGCCGCTGTTCATGCGTGTGCTCCAGGAGATCGTGAAGAAGCCTAGCGCGTTGGTGGCGGAGACGCCTCCACAATCCAATACCAGATATGAGACCTGGAGGTTGTTCATGAAGTTTCTTTAGTTTTGAAGCATTCGTCTTGCGTCATGTTCTTTCTGTCCTTCCCATCCCCGTAATTGGGGGAAACAAAGCCTTCCCAGGTGGCCCTTCAAGGACAGAGACTCCCAAATTGGTGCTTCTATAATTTTTACATCCAGGGGTCCAGGATCATTTTTGGGAGCGCTGATGCGCCCTCAAGTTATTTCTTTTGTCTGTGTGACTGGCGATGGACCATTGGCTCATGGGCCATGCCGAGCACTTGCATCGGTTCACTTCGGGTTGCCATGTCTGAGGGGTGAAATCCCGGTTGCGTGTGAAAGGTTTGTCGTGGTTTCAGACTATAATCTCGCACGCCTTCCTCCAAGGAAACAGGGTGACCCGGGGTGACCTGCGAAGATGGGAACCTGAAAGAGCTTCAAACCAAAAAGCGGCCGAGGACATTTACATATGAAACATGCAACATATTTTGCATACTTTTGTCGAAATGGTAAAGAACCTCCAGATCGAAGTGTTTTCCCTTTACAAAACCCTTTGTATCCCTTTGTTAAAGTTTTTATTAATCGATAATTCTAATCAGACTGAACTAGACTGAACTAGAAAGCTTGAAGCCTCGGTGGAAAGTGCGTTTGTGGCTCTGTGCCATTGGGGAAGGGGACATATATGTGTGTGTAAATGCTGTCGCTGGTGAGCAGCGCTATTGATAGCAAATCTGTAGTGGGCGGGCACCCAATACCAAAATCAGTTGGGGGCATCTTAGTAGGAGGCGGGCAATTCTAAAACAAAGGGGACAAACGCCTAGAGGCTACTTAGACGAGGATCCATACGAAAGACCTTCAGTTTCTTCCACGTCTTCTCAAACCAATGGATTGTATTTGATGGTGGGATTTGGCACTCCAACACACCCCCGTTCTGTCTCCCAAATCCCAAGGAGATGCTGAAGCGCGACCGACAGCTTCGGCAGCGAAACATTCAGCCCCTCTGGCTTAACAGTCCGTTGTTCCAAGGTTGTCGAAGGGCTCCAATTGACTGCAGGGCATGATCGCGTCACCATGTTTTCCTTTTTGTTCGTCGCCCCCACACCTGCAAACTTCCACTACCTTTCACGTTTGCCAAGCTGTTTGCCTCCTCCAGTGGCATCCACGGGCTGAGTAATTAGTAGCATGTTCCACGAGCGGAAAGTGGCCAAGGAATGAAAACAAGTCCCTTGTGCGGAGGATCCTCTCTGTAAAAAGCAGCGTGGATCGTAGTGGTCTCGAGAAGGACTACTGGAGGCTCGAAAACAGGGCGCGTCTGAACCAGTGCCGATTGGGACATTGGAAGCTAGTATGAAGCAGAATACGAACAGTAACAGTCAAACTCAACACGAAGCTGCCTCACCCTTCCACGACCTCTCACTCGGTCGCCAGGCACCGGAAGGATGTGAATCGCCTCCAGCAGATCCCGTCACCTCGCCGTTCCAAGCGCAGTCCGCGCGCAGAGCGCAGCAGCTCAGAGCGCGCCGATCGCTTCTTGATGCGCAGTCCGCGCGCACCACGGCAATTGGAGGAGACTTTGCCGGTATTTGGTCTTCATCCAAGACGTCAAAGGTTTTTCTGTTTCCACTACTGTACTTGCATTTGATGTTAGACGATGTCAGTTACATTGTGGGAATATTTGGGAATCACATGAGTCCGGCCTCACCATGAAAAAGGATGAAAAAGGAGTTGCCGATTGAAGTGACGGCTGGGCCTTCAGTTCTTGAACCAAGCTGTGAAGAACCAATGGTCGACTCTGCACGGTTTTTTGGTGGATTTGTGTGGATTTGTGATATTTGTTGGATTCCCAGTGCGGTCAGGAGCTTCCAGTACGCACTCCCAGCGCTGGCTCCTACAGGCTGGATCCGACGGTCGCCAGCTCGAGGGTCGCCAGCTGGTCCGCCCAGCTGTCGACCCACCAGGGTTTGCAACCATGCTTTAACATAGAAGCCTTTGTTACCAGCTTCTTGCTATTAGTGGTAATGGCCTCCAACCTAATTACTAGCTATGGCCCTCAACCTACTAGCCATGCTTTTAAGATCTTTAAGTATGAGATGATGTGGGACACGTAGGGAAACTCGAAGAGTATGATATGAGGAACCACGACTTGTCCTATTGGCCTGTATAAAACTACGTATGTAATGCTAATATTACTTCAAAAGTTATATATATATATATGTATTATATATTATGTTTATTTATATATATAGAGATATATGTGTATATATTTGTATTCTGTTTGTGCTGGGGCACGTATCCAAGGCTTTCCGATAGAGCCATCGACCTGAGGCCTCTCCGACAGCTGCCGCTGCCGCCAATGAAGGGGAGTAGCTCAGCACCGCAGCTGGTTAAGGCGATGGGGCAGTTTGACAGGGATGGGTCTAAGCCCATCCAGTGGATGAGCATGTCAGGGGCCCTAATGATCAGGCCATTGCATTTGCTAAGTGCCACTGGTACCCTGTGAAGGAGAAGCAGGAAAGACCCGTCCCGAAGAAGAAACAGCACAGTGCAACAAGTCCCGTGAGGATTTCGAAATCGAAGATCGCACCAGCCTCAGGCAATGGAAAAGAGAAAAGTTCATTGCATTGAAGTCAGCCAAATATGTACCGCCTCAGTGAGCCGAGTATTGCGGGTTTTTGTTGGTTACTGAGGCCGGTGAAACCACTCCAAAGGCAGGGCGTTGCGGGAAAATCTGATGGGAAAGAGAACTCAGAGCTCATCAGCTCATGGTGTCTCAGAGATTCTCCGGGTATCTCCGGGTACTGGGGTATACTGGGGTCTTTGCACATCAGCACGTGGCGTCGACGGCGGTCGACTCCGGATGCGAACTGAACCGTGGGCACGACCGGGTGAAGCGAGGGAAGAGTTCCGCCACCACATCATGTTCCTAAGACGAAAGGCAGATGCGATTCCATTCAGAGTAGAAGTCTATTTGCACAATGCAGCCCAGGGGGTACAGAAAGAAAGCACTCGGGGGCTCAGGCTATTCCACGAACCAGAGCAAGAGACATCAGGAGACTGATCACCCAG